GCCAGCCAGCCAGCCGGCCACGCTGCTCCTCCCTTCATGCAGAGGAGCTTTCAGTGCAACTGGGCGCGCACCGGGCGGGCGAGAGCGCACAGCTTGCACCCCGGGCGGGCGAGCCGAGCGAACCCAGCGAGCCGGGCGAGCGAGCGACAGGTGCGCGCGCACCTGCCAGAGCGCTTCTGGACTTGCGGCCCTGGAGCGCGCGCGGAGGAATCGACTTTCCGAAAGCTTCGTTCTCTGTGCTGTGCTCTCTTAGAGCAAATTGCCGAACCCGTAGAACTGTGGGCATCGGACCCACGCTTAGAGAAAGGGCTGGAGGTCCCCGTGGTCAGGATAAGCTATGACAGAAAACTGGGAGTTTGGAATGTGGACGTTTTGGAGTTTAGGTTGAGTTCTGATTCGGGGGTGGATTTGCAAAGAAAGACAAGACGAGTCGGCTGGAAAACTATTCGTGCACCATTCACAACGCTCGGTTAGTGGACAGAATAAAATTAACACGAGATTAAGCTGAAAGCATCCTACAGAGTCTACGAAATAAATTGTTGACTCTTCTCCTTCCTTGGAAATAACTTTTTCCATCCGGTAACTTCTCCCAGGTAATCACAAAAAGCCTCAAATGGTTCCAGGTTGTGAACAGAAAAAAATATATATATCCTTCAGAAACCTCAAACCGGACCACCGGGTTTTTTGTTTTTGTTTCGTTTTGTTTTTCGAGATAGGGTTTCTTTGTGTAGCCCTGGCTGTCCTGGAACTCACTCTGTAGACGAGGCTGGCCTTGAACTCACAGAGATCCCTCTGCCTCTGCCTCCTGAGTGCTGGGATTACAGGCATATGTCATCAAGGCAGGCCAGACTGCCAGATTTTTAAGTGGCACTCAGCAGGTTTATTGGTACACTTATGGTTATGGGAACCTAGAAATTAATTCTACATACCATGCATTGGCTATGTACCCTAAACAAACATATACTTCAAGCTAAGTATTTCTTTCTCACTTCTCTATGAGGAGGCGGCACAATTTTGTAATTGTAATTTGTAATTGACATAACCAAATTTCTTAACCTGTTTTGAAAAAAAAATGAAATTTTGTTGTGTACGGCAAAGAGTATTTCCGATTTGGAAGTATGGGGTTAAAAAATGCCTATCCCACAAAAGATGACCTCCCTTCAATGTGTCTCTGAACCTCACTGCAAATGCAGGTAATAAAGAACCGACTGAGCTTGGATATCCCATGCACATCTCTGTATTTATGCCTATATCACAGCTCCCCGAGGTGTTTGGAATAGAGTTTGCTTCTGGTTAATAGACTCCAGTGGTCTGGACCCCATTATTTGCACAACTCCAGGACCCAACAGTCCTCTTTATTTGTGTGCTTGCCTAGGAAATGAAAGGACTATAGACCTATAAGAGCATATGTATATTTAAACTATTACTTGGTACAGTAACAGCTCCTAGAAAATATTGAATTAATAAGTGAAAAGATAAAGGCTCCTAGTACATTTTTGCTTTGTTTTGTTTTGGTTTGTTTTGGTTTGGTTTTTGTTTTTCAAAACAGAGTTTCTCTGTGTAGCTCTCTGTCCTCGAACTCTCTTTGTAGACCTGATTGTCCTGGAACTCAGAGATCCACCTGCCTCTGCCACCCAAGTACTGGGGTTAAAGGCATGCGCCACCACCACCTGGCTGTAAATTTTGAAGTAATAAATTCACAGATAATTTTAAAGAAGCTAAGGATTCGTGATGAGTTAAGAAAGTCAACAATAGTACTCCCAAATGATTATGAATTTTATTTCATATACAAATAATTTCCAGGCAATTCCTCTTTTTGATTAATTTATGTTTTTAAGGTTAATGATTCCTAAACTCAAAGTTGTAAGATATGTGATTAGTTATTTATTGTTAATAAATATTGCTGAAATTTTTACAGCATTGTTGTTATACAAATACCCTTAAATTGGCCCTCTAATGTTTGTTAAGTCAAAAATGTCAAAATATAATAGATAATAGTGGCAGTAGAACCAAAACTTGGGAAATTAACCAGAAAAGATACTCAAAATAGCTTTATCTTGGGCAGAAGCTGTGCACCTCATAGTAACACATATATGTTAGTGGTAACCAACAGCTTTCTAGTTTGACTTAAGACCCATCCAACAAGAGGGAAATTATACCTGGTACTGAAGAACTAGCTATCTACCCAGGGCTAGTAAAGTCATAGATCTTGAAGGAGAACTTACACCCACCACTTTACTAAATCTGCATAATCCCTAACTACATCTACCCTATCTTAGGAAATCCAAAGTTTTATACCTAATTTACTTTGTATCATATCTAAGGAAAACTGCAACTATAACTATCTAGTCTTCAACTCCATCAAAGACCACAGAAGGATTTATTATCATTAAGTAAACAAAAAGCACATTGTAAACAACTTTCAAAAACTCTAGAAATGACAGAGACATCTGACTGCCTGGACAATCACCCAAAGTTCCTCTGCAACATTGGGACATCCATCTTCAGTCTACATGCCCATAGTATCTGGCAGACTTTTCAATGAAGTAAGAAATTGGAAAGACTGTCCTGCCTATATTGACCAAGTTTGTCAGTCACTTTCTTCTGTGTCCTGTAGAATGTCTGACAGTTTCTTCTGTGAAGCAGGAACCCTGAAGGACCATCCCACCTTGTTTTAGCAAAGTTCAGTGGTCACCATCCTATAGGTCCTGCATGTTTAGTTTATACAACATTCTGTCAAGCAGTTCAAACAAGAGGAGCTTCTTGCCCAAATGGCTAGTCTTGCCACATTTAAAGCAAACTCCATTAGGAGTTTCTTCAATGCCCATCATCTCTGAAGTAAATTTGTGCTGCCAGGAGCAGACGTGTCTCATTGTCATGAAAAGCCCTAAGTTAACAAAACATTTTAAATGCCATATTCTGTAGGTCTTTGAAAAGTTTGAGGACCATATATCTATCTAAAATCTATCTCTATATGATCTGGAAAGCATACCTAACATATCTGCAATTTTGATGGTTATAAATGACTAACCAATAAACTATGTTTCTGATTATCCTATATAGTTTATAATAATAGCTTTTAAAAACTAGAACTTGACCCTACATTTCCAAATGAAGTGCATAGGCATAATACTGCACACAAAAATAGAAACATACATACAATATGTTGTAAAAAAAAAAAACCTTAAATTTGTATCAATATACAAAATCATTTAAACAAGAATAGAAACATATATACAGTGTAACAAAAATAGCTTTAAAATTGTATCAATGTACAAAAATCATTTAAACAAGAGCAGAAACATATATACAATGTAACAAAAATAACTTTAAATTTGTATCAATATGCTATATTCCCCTAAATGATAACAAACATTCATAGCCCACCAAATAACCAAAACCACCCACACCCCCCCAACTCTTAGGAATGTAGGCCTAGTTTTCTCTAGACTGCTTCCTGCTGTCTGTGAACAAAGCCATCTTTTTTAGGGGCTGAGAAAATTTGAGATAATGGCCAAGTCCTAGCCACAACCTTTGTAGATATGTATCACCTGTCAAGAATCAGGAAGTCTTCCCCATCAAACCTGATCCATATTAGTCCTGAAGGAATCCATAGCCTCTGGTCTCCTGTGGGAACAGAACTCCAAACATTTTTTATTTCCATTTGAAAAATACATTTTTTGCCTTTTTAAAAGTTAAGGCATTCATAAAGTATCTAGGTTGGTTCAGTTTAGCAGTCCAGTTCATAACCCCATGCCTCTCAGCAGCTATTGCTTGCTTGTCAGCATTCAAAATTAGAAATCAACACAATACTATATACGATACAGACTCCCTTCGTGTTTCCCATCTTGCATGGCTTTATTCTTTTATATTACTTTTACCATCTCTTTAAAGACTCTACTTTTTTAAACTCTTTCTATAACTGCCTGTACTTATTTTCTTTTCTTTCTTAAACCTACACACATTGTAAAACACACTGGAACCTGTTTAGAGGTATTTTTTTTCCAATCTGGACCTCTTTTACTATGTATCTTTTAGCCTTTTTTGACTGTGTAAGCAAACCTTTAAACTGCTAACCTACATCTGGCTCCTCATCTGGACCTCTTGTACTATGTATCTTTTAGCCTTTTTTGACTGTGTGAACAAACCTTTAAACTGCTAACCTACACCTGGCTCCTCCCGGCTGCTCTCTCAGCTGGCTCTGCCTGCTTGTAGTTTCCTGAGAGTCAAACCTAAAGCTGGGGGTCCGTTTGGAGGTTTGTTTGATGTGGAATTGCATTCAACCCCCTAGCTATGGATTGTCAGTGCCCTGCGCTGTTTCAGGCGTTTTTTACTTAGTTTTTTGTTTCTATTTAGCATGAAAAATGCTGTTTAAGTACTTTGCTGTACAGCACGTTTATTAAAGGAGCCATATCCTCTTTTTTTTTTTTCCAAAGCTTTCTCAAGCCCTATGGGAATATGAGCCTCACATTGGTATGCCAAAATGTTGTTTGTTTTTTGCTCTTTTAAGGGGGTCTACTACTTAGCTCCCAAATAAATCATACACGGAGGCTTATTATAACTTATAAATGCCCAATCTTAGCTTGGCTTGCTACTTGCCAGCTTTTCTCAACTTAAAG